TCATTTTTTACTTCATTAAAAGAATTGTTGTGTATCATTCTCATCCTTGAAATAAAGAAAACAGATGTAGAAGAATTGAACAAATTTAATTAATCGTAATTACACCATAACTCGGCTACCTAATTCTTTGTAATTCGATCTTTTAAATTCGCGAGAGATTAATTTAATTTTAGCTTTAACAGCCGGGTATAATTTAACTTTTTTTCTCAATCTTTCAATCGGTGTTAGTCCATCATCTGGTGGAATTTGTGCTGTTGAAGTTGAAGGCTTTGAGTTGACTATTCTTCTGGGTAGGTCATTCAGATCCTTTTTTTTGGAAAATTATCCACTTCTTTTAGGCTGCTATTTTCCGACTCCTACGGATATAAATGAAGCAATTAATATTTATCATAAATTATTAAACAATCCGTTTTTTATTTGAAAAAGCTCATGAAATCATAATTTACATTCATTTCAAAAAAACTGACATAATCTTTTAAAGCTTGGATTTAAATGAAAGGAGAATTTATTTGTCAAAAATTATAATTTTTTTATAAACTATTTTTAATTTAAAGTGTAGAATATAATGAATCTAACCTAAAGAGATTAAAACAATCAAGTACCTTAATACTTAACTATGATTCAAAAAAACGTGCTTGTTTTAATCTTTTGTGGTTATATTCAATATTAGATTTCTTGATCAGAAATATTAAAAACTTTTGTAAAAATGCGTTTAACTTTTAAAAATTTATTACGGAACTATTAATTTTCATTTTTTTCTGTGAAAATTGATGAATTCATTACAACTATTACACTTTTATCACTGCATGAACAAAACGACGCAGTTAAATTGAAACTTGTGCGACACTTTCAGCAAGATTGTTATTTTCTAAAATATTTACTATAATTTTATTCTCTTGATTATTATTAAAAAGCAGTTAAATCAGAAAAAGCATTAGAAAGTATAATTTAATATTAAAATATTAATCACAATCGTTTACTGTACAATGCTGTCTGCTAGCATTGTATGTTCTCAAAAACCATAGGGGTGTATCACAAAAAAAGATACAACTAATTTTTGAAATTTTAACAAAAAAAGTTCTAAGTAAATAATTTAATAATGAATATTAATAAATAAGCGCGAAAATTTGAATTACTATAAGATTGTGGGAATAACACAATTTTTAAGACTTATTGAAAATAAGACTTTACATTCTTAGCAAAGGCGGCAAAGTAAATTTGAATTCAAATATGAAACTTTTGTAATGACTTACAATATTTCTAAAAATAATAATTCTTTAAAATAATGTAAAACTTGAAAATTATAATAAATCAAGGGTATTTTATTTAATAATAAATAAAACTTACCTTAAATAATAGATAATTTATGTAGTAAAATATAAATTCTTAATTAATACAATTAAACATTGAGTGACATCTGTTTTCTGCACTCAGTCGATGAAACAGTAGATACTAATTGGCGATTCAAAACGCCTTTCGGTAAATATACATAAAGTAAAAAGATGTCTTAACTATTTTATTGTAAATTATAAATAATTGAATCTTATTGATCCTTCATTTGGCGGTTAGTAATACAGGGTACCACATTATCAGACAAACAGTTTCACCCGCGAAATTTAAAAGATTAAGAGATTTCAATCTCAGGAAGTAAAAACAAGATGGTGTCCAGGCAATTTTAAATTTTCTACTGAAGTTGTTAAATCTTCCGCCAAAAAATCTGTCGGTAAAACAATATGGCGTCCAGGTTAATTTAAATTAAAAAATAAATTTTTAATTTCCCACCAAGCAGGTTTGAATTCGCTACTGGTGCCACCTATTGGACACTTGGTGAACTTACACAGTCAAAATGGCGGCCAAGTCAATTTAAATTATCTAATAAATTTTAAATTTCCCGCCAAGCAGATTTGAATTCGCCAGTGACGCCATCTATTGGGTGGCTAGTAAACTAACTCGTAAAAAAATGGATTTTTGAGTTTTTTAAAAAATTAATATTTACAATTTATTTTTCGATGAGTAAAATCTATTCTATAATAAAATATGAGCTTAAAATATATATTTTTTTTAAAACTTGTTCATTTCAACGTTCAGAAATTTAAAGGCATACCATTATTGCTCAGGCATTTTTGTCGAATATGTATTTGGTAATTTTTATTAATATCTTAAGTAGTAATAAAAAATTGTCAACTGTTCCTTTAAAACAAATATTCGAAGCTCAAAACGTGTTATTAATGGTTTTTAAAATTAATTTTGAAAGCAATATAACAAGAAATGTTCATTAAATTAAATATATGGAATTAAACATTTAATTTTTTATGTATAAAATAATATAATATAACCTAAATTTCAATAAATTATTTGAGAATTTACTTTCTTAATAGATTAACAAAGATTTTAAATAAAAATAAATAGACTCACCAACGCAGTAATAAAGATGTTTTTACAATTTCCAATGATTAACTTAAAGTCAAAAATCATCAGCTCAACAATTATTTAGCAGGCTCTCGGGTAACCGACTTTCGTACCATGACTCTTCAACAACAAAGTCGAAATATCTACCTAAATCACGTTCAAGTAGGACAAATATTATTAATATTACTTTCAAAGTCAAATAATTACACACAAAATCAAATGTTTGTTTTTTTCTCACCTCTAGCAATTTGAAAATTGTCACTTAAGTTTGTAATGTTTTATATTTTTAAACGAAGATGAAATTTTTATTTTATTTTCTGTTGTACATTTTTACCATTCATTTGTCCAGTTTTAGGCAACTCAATTTAATTTTGAAACAACTAAATTTGATAAATAAAAAAATTCAAGCAGAAAAAATATTGTTTTGTTTTTCGTTGATAAATAAACGTTGCAAACTTCAGTGACATTTTCAAAACTAGAAATATTTGGATTTATTCCTCTTACCTTTTAAGGACAGTCCAAATTTGGTTAATTTGAATGAATTAGCCTAATTCTCACGTGTTGTGCTCTTCTTTTCTATCCTTCTTCTTAAAACCGACGCTTATGAAAAGTTTTTTGTTAAAAAAGTCTACGAGGCTCGCGATAACTGCACCATGACTGACCATGGCACTGCACGTGACCAGGTCTTGTGTTATTTACGTACCAACCTAACCCGATAAAGCCGGTTACTGGTTAGTGCAAGAAGACTAGAATAAGGAGATCTAACTCAGGTAGTCGGGGTATGGTAAGTATACGTATGAAATTGGTAGTTGCTGTAGGCGGATTTTCGAGAAACGCAGAGTGTGCGGTAGACTTCTGCGCATACCAATACATACAAGTTTCAGTAATTCTTGACAAGGCAACAAAAATGTATATGTATTGGTGTGCGCAGAAGTCTACCGCACACTCTGCCTTTCGGCCTACCTCGAAAACAAATTCTTTACGTACCCCCACTACCTGAGTTAGACCTCCTTATTCTAGTCTTTTTGAGTGAAACGCAAGACGTAAGGGCCAAAACACAATTTGGAATAAAAGATTGAATTTCGATCAATCAAAGCACAGTCTCTTGCGGTAGAGTATTTTGATTGGTTGGAATCCAATACACTGACAGATTCTAATCTGTCTCATGCGACTGTAACACACCGCGAAACTTCCAAACGGAAAGTAAAGCAAAGTTCAAAATGTACAATGTTTGTCCAGAAATTTTAGCTTTATAATATTTGAATTTTGTTCCTTTCAAAATATCAACCGTAGGTTTCTTTCATCATTTAGATCCTTAAAAGGATCCACTTGCTTGAGCTAGGTAGGTTTATTTTATTAAATAAATAAGACACTGATTTTTACTTAGAAAATCAAAAATTTATTCAATTGAATTGAATTGAGTCTTGTTTAAATACGCTTTATTTAAACTTAGTTTAAATATTCTTAATTTATAATCCTTTTTGACAAATATTAATTCTAGATTAAGTTTTAATTTGAACTTTACGAGTTTATTCTTTTGCGAAATTCACGTTAATTTGCTTGCCAAAATCTGCTGTCCTTCCTTATAAAATTATATTTTTATAGTCAATTTTCCACTCTTAATTTTAGTTCCTTTTCCCTTTCGATAAGAAATTTTCCCAATCATATTCCTATTTTCAAGTTGTTCAATCCCGCCCTCGCTAATTGATTGGTCTATTTTTTTAGAAGACCGTTGCAACCGTTCGTAAATGTCATAATTTTTTATGTGGAACACCTGCACAAAATACGCATTTAAAATTGCGTATTTTGCTAAATTTATGATCTAAAATTAGTTTTACTTCATTTTTTACTTAGATAACCGTCATTTAACGACTTAACTTACGCATCAATTTTAACTTGTTTACTCTCTTTTCCCTTTTATGTATTGATTTCTTTAATTTAGTATTTTATTTTCTTTTCTCAAAATTTTCCAGGTTTACAAATTAAAATTGTTGCGTTTATTCGAATACATATATATATATTTATGTATATTTTAATTATTTATATTAATTTTTCTTAATTTTCAAAGAACCTAAATTTAAGTTTAAATTTACCGCTTTTATTTTTAATTAATTAACTTTCAATCAAGACTCAATGTTTTGCAGCAATAATTATTAGTACTCGTATTCACCTAGAACAATTTTCTAGCAAAAAGGGGAAACTGCAGAAAAACCCTTTTTGGAGTACTTTTCTATATTACGTAATTATTAACTTTAGTTAATTGTATATTTGTTTTGATTCAAAAATAAAATCTTCATATCAAAACAATCAAATAATTGTTTCACTAATTTTATTTTTCAATCAATTTGCATTTATTCTTTTTATTATTCAAATAGTCGATTAATTCTCTATCAACTTCTTGCAATAAATCAAATTTAAATTTCTTATTTAGAGCGCAAACTCATTATTTATTACAGCACTGAGTAACAGTGATCGGAGCGACTTAGTCAAAAACCTTGGGCCTGAACGTCAATGATCCGTCACTGTTACACGACTTAACCCTTATAGTCTTGTTGTTGCGACATAAGTCTGAAAATAAGTGCATTAATAAACAGGACTTTTTAATAAAAAAAAATACCATGGAAAATAATGAAAAAGAAAACTTTGTTTTATTCGATTCTTTTATTGATGAAGGATGGTTCTACATCGTTAATAAAACGTGCATCCTTGTAACAGAAAAATCGGAAATAAAAATCGGAGCAAAAATGCAGTTTTCATATCCAAATGAAGAAAAAACGTCTAAAATAAAAACAGGAAAAATTATAATGCAATCGGGTAAGTATTAAGATATTTAATATATTTTAAATCATACTCAAAAATATTTTATATGTATCTTAAATATTATTATTAAACACACACAAAATTTACATTATTATTTTATAATATCACATTAAGCTTGATTTTATTTATGTAAATAGATACATTTAAATTTATATAATAATCATTTTTCTAACTTAAAAAACAATATTTTTCAGAATCAATTGAAAATTTAGAGGAAGAAATGAACAGAAGAATAAAAGAAATTAAAGTAAAGAAAATTACAAGAGAGGAGTTGAAAGAAAAGGAGAAATCAGAATCTGAGGCAATGAAAACAAAATTTATGGAAAGAGCAAGACAAGATAATATAATTATGGCCAAAGAGCTTCAAAAAGATATAAATTTGCGAAAAAAGGAAAAAGATGATTTACTAAATAAAATTACTTCTGCAATAAATTTAACAAAAAAGGAGAACGAGAAACTTGAAAATTTGTTTATTTAGAGCAAATTATTCGATCAAAATATTTATAATAGTTATTACAATGTTATAAACAAATTAAAATATAAACTTAACACTTTTCAAAAAATGGAAATTTATTTTTACTTAATTTCTTTACTTTATAGTACAAGCATAAGTGTGGATTATATAACCGAATTTATGTTTAACCAAATTGTTATTTGCTCAAATCTGCATTTGACAAAAGTGAATTTTCATTTAATCCTATTATTATTTGACGCAATTTTCATTTAAATGAATTTTTATTGAAATAAACTTTCATTTAATCGAGTTGTTATTTGACTGATTTTTCTTTTAAACGATATTTTACTCAACCACATTTTTATTTAACTGTGTATTGTTATTTTTTGAAATTGTCTTCTGAACGAATTTTTATTCAACCAAATTTACGTTAATCAAAATTTTTATTTAACCGAACTGTTCAGTGATAGAATTTATTAGAACAAATTTGCATTCTTAAAAACTTTCATTTACTCTCTAAATCTGAATTAGTAAAAATGTTTACTAATTTGAATTAGTGACTCACTTTTTGCTTCTCAATTAGTTAAATTTTACTAATTGATAGTAAAAGTTACTAATAATTAGTAAAATTTTACTAATTCAGAAGCAAAAAGTGAGTCACTAATTCAAATTAGTAAACATTTTTACTAATTCAGATTTAGAGAGTAATCGGATTGTTATTTAACTGAATTTTTGAAACGAATTTTCATTTAATTTCCTAGAAATTTCCTAGAAATTGGGTTACTTAGAGCCTGGAAATCATGGAAAATTCATAGAATTTCTCAATTAAAAATCTTTAGTTACCCGGTAGAAATAAAAATTACTAATTCAGTAGTTGGAATGACGTTTATTTATTAGAAATATGCAAATATTGTAATTCATAAAATATAATACGAAAAACAATTGTTAGAAAAAATTGTAACTATTTATAATATTTGTAAATACAGTAATGAAAATAATTAATTAATAATAACGTAAAATATTTATCTAAACTTTGGTTACCAATTTTTTTCTGAATTATACAATTTGCATACTTGCATTTTAATATGTAATCAGACTTATTATACTTTAAAAAAATTATAATTTAAATCAAGTCGAAAAATATGAATACAGATACAGAAGTTATTTTAAAAGATTTGCTTTGAAAAAAAAATAACAGAACAAAAAAAGAACATTTTTATCAATTATTATCTAACCTTTCTTTATAAAAAGGTGCACCGAAATTTAATTTCTTAAAATCATTTATTTAATTTTTGAAATCAAGATGCAAGAATTTCTTCTTGTGGAAGGGGACGGCTGTTTCACAATTATTTTTCAGGATTCAGTCATCTATAATCCAGAAATTCCAGAAATAAGTATTGGATCAATTGTAAAATACTTGTGGCCAGAAAGAGCAGCTTGCAAAAAAGAGTATTCCGGAAAAGTGATTGCCATTTCAAGTGGGTCCTAACACTGAAAAATTGTAAACTAAAATAATTTAATTATTTCCTAATCTTTTTACTTTTTAAAATTTCTTACTTTTCTATAAACCTTTAAAAGAACCTTTAGTTTACTTTGCAATAAATGAAAATGAATTTTAAGAAAAACATTTTTGTGATAAATTAAATTTTTCAAAAAGATTAGATTGAATACTCATACTTTCAAATGCTTTCGAAGAAAAATAAAGTTATTTAATAAATAAAAATAAAATTCATATTAAGAACTTGAATATTAAAAATCAGGGATTGCATAAAGCAGGCCTATTTAAGGCCAAAAAATTTTGTTTGTTAGCTTGCCTATTTAAAAAATACACATATTAATATTTTTTGGTTCTTTACAAATTATTTTTTTTAAATTTGAGAAACTTTGAAAATCTAATTTTTAAAATTTTTGTTTCGTGAAAATTTCAGTTTTTAAAAAAGATGAGATTGAATACTCATAATTTCAAATGCTTTCGAGGAAAAATAAAGTTATTTAATATATAAAACAAAATTCAGATTAAGAACTTGAATATTAAAAATCTTAATTATTTAAAAAATACACATTAATGTTTTTTGGTTCTTTAAAAATTATTTTTTAAAAAATTTGAAGAACTTTGAAATTCTAATTTTTATAAATTTTGTTTTGTAAAAAATTCAATTTTTAAAAAATATGAGATTAAATACTCATACTTTGAAATGATTTCGAAGAAAAGTAAAGTTATTTAATAAATAAAATTCAGATTAAGAAATTGAAAATTAAAAATCTTAATGATTTAAAAAATACACATATTAATATTTGAGGAGCTGGGAGGAACAACTGGCCGAGCGCTCGGCTGGGCGCTCTAAAGCCAGTCAAACGACCCAAAATGTTCGAAAAATTGAAATTCGGAATTTTGATATTTAAAACGTATTACCCTGTTTGATATAAAAAGGCGCATCTTTTTTTCCTTTTTACTTTTTTCCATAGGACCAAAACGATGGACATTAAATGAAAAAAATTAAAAAAATTTTTTTCACGAATTTCATTACATTTTTAAACTTAAATCGTCGTATCTTTGACAAATGTTAATGAAATCACTTGCCATTTCGTATACACACGTATTAGGGTACATAGAAGACGATAGATTAATAAAAAATTAAAGAATTTTTTATTTTTTAATAATAATTAATTATAAATAGTGAACGGTCGGTAATCGCGTTTTCAAACCTTTGACGAAAAAATGTCTGTGGGGAACTTTAAAATTAAAACAAGTTCCAGTGAGACATTTGTTTATCACAATATAAAGAAGTTTTTCGTTTTATTATGAAATAGGAAATTTAAGAAGTATATCATTTAAAATAGGGTATGTTTGTACTAATGTTGTGTTGTCCTTGAGCTGACCTTAAATGTAAACAAACGTTTTTAACTGTGCATTTTTCATTTTACGTGTCATTTTAACTTAATTATTAGAAGAAAATAAAATATAATAAAAATAATAATAATAAAATAAATAATAATAAAATAAAAATAGAACTTTTAAAATTTTTTAAACTAAAATGTGTGAAAGTTAGGGTGTAACAGTCGGTAGGAAACGAACTCGAAACGACAGTGGTTGGATAAAAACTGCTAGAAAAATAAAAAGAAATTTAGTAAGTATTAAAAATAATATAATAGAAAGAAAACTAAATAAATAAATAACATTATTTCATAATGTTTTTAAATTGTAAAACACGAAATTTTTGTAGTTAAGAAAAAAAAATTTATTACAATCAAATAAAGTTTTAAACTTCCTACCGACTGTTACACCCTCACTTTCAAGGACAACACAACATTAGTACAAACATACCCTATTTTAAATGATATACTTCTTAAATTTCCTATTTCATAATAAAACGAAATAATATTAATTGATCTATTTAAACTTACCTATTTTATTTCATATTCGAAAAGTAAGGTATTAATAATACGACTGTCAATGATTCGCTCCGCGTGACGTCTAGCTAGCGCGTCGCCGCTTTTTGAAAAAACACTTATATTTTCAAAACTTATTAATGAATCGACTTGGAATTTTCCAGAAAACTTCTTTATATTGTGATAAACAAATGTCTCACTGGAACTTGTTTTAATTTTAAAGTTCCCCACAGACATTTTTTCGTCAAAGGTTTGAAAACGCGATTACCGACCGTTCACTATTTATAATTAATTATTATTAAAAAATAAAAAATTCTTTAATTTTTTATTAATCTATCGTCTTCTATGTACCCTAATACGTGTGTATACGAAATGGCAAGTGATTTCATTAACATTTGTCAAAGATACGACGATTTAAGTTTAAAAATGTAATGAAATTCGTGAAAAAAATTTTTTTAATTTTTTTCATTTAATGTCCATCGTTTTGGTCCTATGGAAAAAAGTAAAAAGGAAAAAAAGATGCGCCTTTTTATATCAAACAGGGTAATACGTTTTAAATATCAAAATTCCGAATTTCAATTTTTCGAACATTTTGGGTCGTTTGACTGGCTTTAGAGCGCCCAGCCGAGCGCTCGGCGAGTTGTTCCTCCCAGCTCCTCATTTTTTGGTGCTTTAAAAATTATTTTGCAAAAAATTTGAAAAACATTGAAAATCTAATTTTAAAAAATTTAAGCTTAGATCATCATCTGGGGTGTCAAACACTCCGAACTTTCTGTAAAACTGTCAAACTGTCTGTAAAATTAAAATAATTTAAATGCGTTTTATTTAAAAATGTTTATATATTAAATAACATTTTAATATTAATTTAGCCGACGAAGATGAATTAGGAAAACTACAGCTTGAAAAAGCTAAAGAATCAAGAAAAATTATTTCTTCAAGAAAGCGCAAACTTTTAGATGAGACCAAAAATGACAAAACTGAACATGGAAGTTCAACAAAGGTAAATAACAATAATAACAACAAATAAAGATTTTAATCATTTTTATAAGTAATTTTTAAATGTAGGGTAAAATGGGGTGAAACCACCAATTTTTTACATTTATTACTATAGTTTTGATCCTAGAGGTAATTAACAGAAGAAATATAAAGAGTTTAAAAAATTTATACTTTAGGCATTAATTTCGAAATAAAATTTTGCAGAAGCTGTCCAGTAGCGGTGTTAATTTGCTACAAAAAGTAAATGCAGCCTTGCACTTGAGTAATCAATTAACAGCAACGTTGGAAGAAGTCAAGGAAGGAAGGCTAAATTATTTAGAAAAGTTTTTATTAATTTACAAGAAAAATATTGTTGAAAAAAGTCAAGTTTCTCAGGCATAAAATACGAAAATGAAAGCAAAATAGTGATCTCGCCCAGTCTAGCCTACTTGAAGATTAATAAAATAATTAAAACCATTTTTATCCCCATTTTATGATATAAAAAATTATTTTTTAAATGACATTTCTTTATTTTCAAATATGAAGGAGTGGGACCAGTAAAATTTCAACCCATCGAAATTTAGAATGTTTAGAGATGTCAAATTTTCCGAATAAATTAATGTTTTTAAATTGTGCAACATAATGAAAATTAAAAAAAA